AAAAAATTGCAAATAGAAAATTAAAACATGTGTTTATTTTATTTCCGATACGAAAATAAACAAAAACCAGCTTTACCCACGATTCTCCCCATTACGTCCTTCGCTGCGAGCCAAAAAACAAAGATCGCTATCGATTTTCTCCTCCTTCGGGTAAAAAAAGGCCTCGTAATCGCCTTAAATTTGCTTATTCCTGCAATTACCCGTAAAAGAGAGAACAAAACGAACGATCCTCGCCACACAAAAGTATACATCGAAGTTGCGAAAAAAAAAAAAAATCTCACGGTTGATTGCAGATCTCGCTCTTGTCAGCCGTTTTCTTCCATCAGCCGAACTCTACCGTATACTATTGACTTCTCGGAAACAACCAATAAGTACCTCCGCGCGTGATCTCTTCCCCCTTTTTTTCCCACTGCCTTACACACACACACACACATGTTTTCCCCTTTGTGCGACCCCCTTTTATTCCGGCTCTTTGTGCGATTTTTGCTTTTTTTTCTTCCCCCCCTTTACCCGAGTTCTTCATTTGCCGTGTGCAAGTAATTCGCGCGTGCGTTTCCCTCGCACTCGGAGGTTTTACAAGAACTTCAGCTCATGGAATTCGTCCTTCGCTTGTAAAACCCGCGTATAACATCGTAAGGTGGGAGTTGAAAAGTTTTTGCTTTCTGCCCTAATCGATGGTAAAAAGAAAAAAAGAAAAAAAAAAAAAACAAGACCGAGCGCAGCGTGTGCATCCGTTGCTCTCGTATATATAAATTTTGATTCGAGGCGCAAGATGAGATGCTTGTGCTCCATCGCCTCTGTCGAGGTGGGAAGGAAAAGCGGTACTTTTCGATTTACAATGGCGCGAGAGTTCCCGCTCTGCTGGTTATTTCTCGTTCCCGCTCTATTAATTGCTCGTGCGTTGCGCGCATAATATGTGGGTTCGCGGCGGTATATGTGTATATTATACTCTACTTCGGAAATGTTGTACGTGTGATGTTTTTTTTTTCTTTTTTCCCATTTTGAGTGTTTTAGAAAAAGAACAAAAACAAAAAGGTGGAGAGAAAAGCGTCAATTTGATCAAATGTTTATTTTCTTAAATTTTTCCAAGTGTAAGATCTGAGTAATGAGTCTTTTTAGTCTACCTTAAAATTTTATCGTTTTTTCATTTTATCAGCTTAGACCATTAAAATCTCGACATAAACAGGATTCTTCGCATGACCCATTGGTTGACAATTTGCACTGTAAACTCTAATTGCTTTATAACAACATCATTGCATAAAATATGTGGGAAAAGTGGTACATTGTTAATACTAATCGTTAAGAGCGAAAAATATGATAAGTCTTTAAACAGTTTTTTTATGAAAAACATTATTTTATCTTGGACAAACTTTTTTCCATCCGTTTCATATATTGGTTTGAAAAAAATGTTTTATCGCTAGCGCGTAGAGTCTCAGTGTTATCCAATCCCAATATAATGAGATTCATCATCGGCTGTTAATTAATCTGTATATGTATATGTATATATATATGATCAAGGATCAATATGCGAAATATAGAGTGTTATGCGCATGCATATGTGTTGAAGGTATGTTGATGGAAGGTAATATAAAGTGTTGTTAAAGCTATTAAAATCGGGTTTATAAGCTCTGCAGTGATAAAATCGTTTATCGTCGATCAAGTGTTTTTCCCTCGCGTCTTTCCATGCCTGCTCTGTTTGTTACGTTTTATCGTGTCGAAGCGACGGCTAACTGCGTTGTAAACATCGTTGATTTTTACTGATATTTGTGTTGGATAAAAACCTTTTACATTGAACTTTATTGTGTCTCTATTTTAATCAACTTTGTAACGGTTTTTATTATTTTTAAATTTATGGTCCGAGTATTTTTAACGGTCACATTGAAGTAAAGCCCGATACAATCGCACTCGAAACACTATACGACGAAATCCATGGAAAAAAAATACATTTTTGGTAATCAAAAATGAAAAAAACAAAGTTTTTTAAGTCATACGTTCTAAATAGTTCAAAATAGATCAACTGATTAATCAACTCAAGGGCTCAAACTACGACTCTTCGTTTGATCAAAAATTTTACTCGGATCGAAATCGACGACGGTAGTCTAAAACGTACGCACTTATACGCACGTGTATGCCCAATGTACACGTATGCGTTATATGCGCATATCAAAGACCGGAAACGACAATTGTCTGGCAGACGAAGTGGCATAAGTATAGACCGGCACACAATTACAAGCAGATTGAGAGGTTGCAATAAAAATATGTAGATATATATATATATATATTTGAGTGAGTGTGCACACGTGACATAAATTGCGAGCCATGGATCATTTAATGTCCGTTAACTCCCGAATTAAATTTTGTTTCAACTTCCAACCCCTCAATCACTTCTATATGTGCAGTAGTTTCAAACAAGATTATTTGCCTCTCACATGCATGTTTGATATACTAAGTTCAACTTATGTCTCTGTACTTCTCAAATCCACCAACAAATATCGTCATTACATTTATTCATTCAATTTTTTTTTTCTTCTAACCAATTCTATTTTTAAAAAAATTATTAAAAAATTTATCGACATGTATATAATATAAATTAAAATTATACGACGTAAACATCTAACGTTACTAAAAAAAAAAAAAAAAAAAAAAAATCGAAATTCATGTAATTTATAACGGATTTTCATTGAGTGTACTTTTTTAAAGATAAAACTTCAGGTGTACGAATTACTCAAAAAATAAGAACTTTTGACTTGTGGAGTCGCAGCTAACTACTCTACGATGCTATTACATATTAAACTATACGAAGAAAGGAGCTACGATAATTTTTATTATAAAATCAATTAATTAAACAATTGTTACAAATATGCGTGTGCCTCTTGGTACTACATGCCCGTCATCCGTCATGTATAATGTATATACTCAATTGTCAGAAGACAAAAGTGTGTGCGCAAGAGAAAAGTGAGAAAAGGAATAGGAAAAGAAGCAGAATGGGTTTACAGCCGTGCGTCCGAGCACATAAGTATACATATATGTAAGAGTAAACATGTAGTCTGAAGGTCGGTCTTTGACTTTTTTACCTTATATGTAGACTGTGGTGTATATATACTTATTTATATATACATACCGTAAAAGAGTATCCGTTCATATATATGTTGGGAGGGGCGCTTGTATACACATATATAGGTACATGTTGTGTGCATTGTTTGATTTTGTTTTATTTTTTCAATGGGGTCCAAGGGGTTCGGAAAAAAACGTTTTGGAAGCAGGGATGAAAGAAAAGAAACCTCTTACCCGACTTGAAGTTTTGAATCATACAGTTGGGAGAGGCGAGGCATTTATTTCGATACTTTTTACAGCTGAAACGTTTTTTAAACTGCCTTTGATGTCGGCCTGTGGGCCCACACCTATTATGTAGGTGCAGTAGTGCTTGTGAGATTTGCGTCGCTACAATTCATTTCCAAACCGATTTTTTTCCATTTCATTTTCTTACCATGGGCCCAAAGCGCAACTTCCGCTTTGCGCCCTCCGGGCCTAAAGTACTTTTCTGCCCTAGGGCCCAAAGTGATTTACTGGGTGAAAAATTGCACACTTTGCGCCCTCGGTAAGAAAAACATTATACGCGACTCGGGCACCAACCTACAACAAGCGCATGTTTGTACTTTGTGCCCTAGTGACGCAATGTACCATTGTGTGTCTAAAGAAACAATTGCATGTCGGTATTTTTGGAAAAATATGTTTTATAAAAATAACTAGTTGAAACTTTTAATTTTTCGAAACGATAAAATACAATAAAAACTCCAATAATCAAAATACTTTTGTAAATATACGCTTGAATGTTTTTCAGCAGAGAGTGCACTTGCTCCTAAAATTCTGATATGAAGTCTCGAAAAAAGTAGGCAAAACGATGCGGAGATCGGCACCGGCAAACAAATCGAATAAAAGATCGGCGCCGAAGCCACCCCCGTTTCTTCAGCCACGCGTTCCTTCAACGTCGGCCACACCACCGGCAACTTGCTCCAACGCGCCGAGACTCGAACCCGAGAGTGGTTGTCGCGCGGCCGCTCAAAGTGGCGTTATGTCGATCGATGCCCCGAGTGCCCCACCGCCAGGTACGTATTTCTCGTGTCTCTGTGTTTATACAGCCAGAGAGGGAAAGAGAGAAATCGGTTGCTTGGCAATGTAGTTCGTGTAATGCCAAGTCGATCAAAGGTCCGAGTGGCGAAGTAACGAAATATATATGTATATATATGCCAAATTATAATATGGGTACACGCTATGCGTGGGCGCGATATTTGAATTAACCGTTTGCCCCTTGCGAGAAAGTTATCGGTGTCCGACCCATCGTTTACTTGCGAGGAGGTTGTGTATTACCGATGCAAAAGCTGAGATATATGGTTTACCGAACATCGTTCTCAAATCACGATGTTATTTCACAAGTGCCGCACGAAATGGACAATCATCGTTCACCGTCCAATTGAACAAATTTTATGTAAAAAAAAAAAAATTCTATTCTCAATATAACACAAGCGACGTATGGTTGTCAGCGTTTCATGATTTGGAAAGACACTTTGCGGCACCAGAGATAATACATACCTCAAGATTTTGATAAAATTTACTCTTTACTAGATGACACCAAGTTGGCGTATACTTGACAAACTAAACTGCGCGCTAACGAGATAAGTTTGCAAAATCAATGAAAAATCGCACCAGGGCAAAACCTATAACAAACACTTGGCAACATTGCTCATGCATGGCTCAACTGTTAATTATAATTATACGTTTGGTTTATTTGACAATTAGGCCGTTCCTCTTCTTCTTATCATGTGAAGCTCAACGTGATTTTACGGTCTTATAAACAGCTGACTCTATACTAGTTGTAGTATCACTCGACAATATTTCCACTCAAGTATAAAAGGGGGGGGTACACAAACTTGTGTTCAGTGTGTGTGTGTGTGTGTGTGTGTGTGTGTGTGTCATTGTACCGAAAATGGTCCGTTTCGTGGCCCAGGCGATGAATGTAAAAAATCACGATGCAAGAAAAAATGTTAAAAAGATTCAAAGCCATATTCCAGCCTCAGTCATCGAAATCACACGTAATGTACACGCACGTATTACCCACCCGCGCTTACATGTTGCACTTGTATACGTGGGGCTCTACTTTGACAATTGTCGCTGCTTTTACTGCTCTCGAACGCACAGTCTCGAGTCAGCTTTTATACAGCGTGTGTCGTCTTCCCTCGTTTAAATATCGTTATCGTTTTCCTTCGTGCAAGTAAGAAGTACGTTTTTTTTTTTTTTTTTTTTTTCTCCATTTGGTTATTCTGAATCGATTTTAGGCCGATCGGTGGGAGAGTGAGGTTTTCGAGCTACGTGTTTTTTTTTGTTTGTTACCGAGGAATTAAAAAAAAAAAAAAAAAGGATAAGGACCTTTGTGATACATTTGCACAGCTGTCGTCTAACGTATACTTGGATTTTGCTTCTAAGGTTTAATAAACATTTATAGCATATTGGTTAATTTGGATGTATACGTACGTTATATTTTTTCATCAGCGTTATTTTTGTGGTATCTCGGTTTAATTGATTGATTGATAAAATTGATGATGCTTGTGCGTCAGTCGCGTGTTCGGAAGTGAGCAGTGATTTTTTGTTGAAAAATTTACGATTGGTCGAGGAGCAACTGATTTGGAATACGATGTGCAAAAAATCTTGTGTAATTTTTTTTTTTTATTTTACGGATTAACTTTTTTAATTGTTGGAAAAACAAAAAATTCTCCTTCTCGAAAATTTTATCTCGATGAAAAAAAAAAAAAAAAAAAAAAAGATTTGGTTAAAAAGTCAAACGTTGGTGCAAACTGTACACAATATACTCGGAAAAGAAAATGAGGCTGTTTACACTTGTTGCGCGTGTTTACAAAAGATGTGTAAATAAAAAATTTTACTTCCTTATCGTTGACAGTTTTTCAATCGACGTGAATTTAAAAGCGACCCGAACTAGATTTCGACGTTGTTTAAGAACCATAAGCCAGATTATAAAAAATTGTTCAAGTTGTGCCTATCTTTTGGATGAAATATTTTGTTTTTCCGATATTTTATTAAATTATGAAACAACGTTTCACTTCTTTTTTTTTTTTTTTTACAAATCTTGGGATGTATGCATATAAATATTCTTCAAGCTCCACGCAAAAAAAAAAGTTAAAATGAAAAATTTCAATTGATTCCGGAGTAAATAATATTTTTCAATATATTATATTAACAGGAAAAAAAAAAAAAAAACTTTATGAACCGGTTTCAATCACCCAAACGAGCTACTTGACAGGAGCAATGGGTGTCGTTACAATGCACGATCGCTCACTCTCCGTTTCCTCCTATTTACAGCCGCTGTAGACCCCCGCGACGAGACCGATCAGCTCATCTCGAGGGAAAGGATGAAAAAAAATTTACATTATTGCTTATATGATTAGAGGCAGACTTTTTGTTGAAAGTAAAGCAGTGACACGTACAAGCAAAACCTCCAGAGATGGAAAGTAAAAAAAAGTCCGTACGAGCGCGCGACATTGTGCCCAGTGACGGTAATTGTACATGAAACGACGAAAGAGGCCAGTGAACGATAAAAATCCGAGGCGCAGGTGAGTTGCGACATCCACGCGTACACCTATGCCCATATGTATACATAAATAGCGCGGACAAAGAGAGATATCGTACACCTTTGGTGTATACCTATATTGCAGTGGTGTAGGCCATACCGATCGGATGGAGGAGCAGTGCCATTACTACGAAACCCCGTGGAAGCTTAAGTTGCGCGCCTTGGGCCGCCAAGTGAGGAAAATCCTGCAGACCTGCAATCCCATGAGGATGAGGCGAAGGAGGTCGGGGTACACGCGCTTTCGTACCGAGGAGGAGGAGCGCATCAGGTTTTTTTTTTTTTTTTTTTTTTTTTTTTTTTTTTTTTTTTTTTCTATATACATTTGCTTTTACTGGTGGTTCGGTTGGATCGTTTCGATGTGGAAAAACAATGTTAATTATGCAATCTCTTGGTATTATCGGCAGGTAGATGTAAGATTTTTTTTTTTTTCCTATGTAATTTTTAATTTTTGACAATTTAGATTTATTGGGTAAACAGACAAGATGGTGTGAAATATACGATTCCGATGGTGTTGAATTTCAAGATGATTAGTACAATTGACTTTGAGTATATTTACGAGCGTGAAACCCATATAAATTATAAATATGCTCAAGTAAAAAATCGGCGTATTTCTCGTGAATACAATTCATAAGTTGTGGATAAGCTTAAAATGTCTCTCCTTCTCTCTCTTGTTCGAAAGTCTGTAACTTATTATATTTACCTGTAACCCATCGATACAATAACTGTACCTATACGTATTTTGCGCAGGAGAATGGCTCGAGACCACTACGATATTTCCACCCGGGTTGCACTCGCTTATGCACCTTGACCGGGTCTACCTCGATCGTGCCAAGGACGGACTCGAAGGTACGTGTTATTCAATTTCACAGTTTTTCTTCTATCGTGATAATTGGTATTTTACTACGAAATTACACGGAAAAATCAGAGTTAATTGGTTTGTTAAAAAAAAAAAAAGTTGAATTTTGCCAAATTGGTTCATTAAAATCAGTAATCTGGTGGCACAATCCAAATGAATATTCGTTTTTTTCTGTATATAGCTTAGTTGGTTTTTATTTTATTTGTGATACATGCAATTTGTTCATAAATTGCATATTTTTAATAAATTGCTTCGTCTTGTGGAAATCGAGCTTCCCCATAAAGGCAGCGTTTTGGTTAAAATCAAATTAAACGTAATAAACATTTTAAATAAATCTTCTGAATCCGTAATTCGACGTCACAAAATGTTCTGGTAAATAAAAATTGAACGAATTTACTGCCAAAGTAAACAACCACAACACGTAACGCGTACATTCGATTGGACGAATCCTCAAAGTATTCGTATAAAAAACGATAAACAAAATTTTATGAACAAATGGTAAAAAATGGTAAAATTTTCTCCTGACTTTCCCGAAGCAGCGGCGCAAACGTGGGACACGACGAAACGCTACAGATTCACGGACGCGGAGGGAGAGCGGCTCTTCGTGGCCCTGGAAGAATCGAATCCCTGCGGGCGCTTCTGCCTGAGCGGCAGCCACCCTTGGACGTTCCACCTCCTCGACGACACTCACCGCGAAATATTACTTTTCCGGCGCTCGCTGCGCTGCACGAGCTGCTGCTTCCCGTGCTGCCTGCAGGTTGGTGAGGTTTTTTTTTTTTTCGCGCCAAGTGAGCACTGGCTTCTTTTTTTTTTTTTGGCTCCAAGTAGCGGCTCATCTATGCACGTGGGTAGGTGCTCATTGGAGGGAGCCGTTGACCTAGTCGACGCACGTGTGCCGCTGTTCATATTTTTTTTATCATTTTTTTTTTTTTTTTTCCAGAAGCTGACGGTACACGCCAACGGAACGATGTTGGGCTGCGTGACGCAGTGCTGGAATCCCTGCAGGCCGTCCTTTGCGATACGCAACGCGGCCAACGAGACGGTTTTGACGCTCCGGGGATCCTGTGGCTTGCGATGCGCCGGCGATACACAGTTTAAGGTGAGTTGGGTGGTTTTTTCTTTTAATTTTTAATCGTTTCGTGGATTCGTGGATTCGTGGAAAAACATTACGTCCCAAAGTTATAAAGAAAATTCTTTTATTATAATTTCACATCTCGTACGATAACGTGTTCTTCAATGAATTATCAGTGGATCGTGCACGATGAAACTTTTTATTGAATATTTTATTGGCGTTAGCTATATAATCAAGGGTTGAAAGAGGGTAAAACTAAAGAATGTTAATAAGTTTCATTGAAAGTTTATTCAAGATGAATATATATANATATATATTCAATAATAGTCTCGGAAAATTTTGAAAGTTAAGAGCTGTCAAACGTCAAAAAAAACAATGTGTTGGCCAGGTACTTCGCTACAAGTGAAATATTAAAAAATACTTAGCAAGTAAAATATCCGATAAAAATCGGATTTCAGCACGTTTTTTTCCTACCTTACGCTACAACCTTCTACGCCATTCATTTTATCGATGACTTTGAAACATATCTACAAATAAAAACATTAGGAGATTACAATATTTTGATGATAATTTCTAATGAGATGACGAAGTTTATTATTTTAAACGAGCTGGGACACGAAATAATTTAAACATTTTTTCCCAAAATTATTGAGTTTTACCGGCCATCAATTTTCCGGCACAAAGGACCAAGAAAATAAGTTAACAAAAGCATCATTCGATCAAAATTCCAATATCGATCCGAAAAGACGTGAACTAAAATTTTTTGCGATAATAATCCGACTAAAACACCTGCGCAAAACGTGCACCACAAAAAAAAAAAAAAAAAAAAAAAAAAAAAAAAAAAAAAAAAATTCAAGATAAGACCGAGGAGGATGATCCCTCGCATGCGTAAGCTCGAAAGAAAAAAGTTTCGATCTCATCTTCGATATACAAGGAACCAATATTCCTCGATGCAATAAAACCATACGAGGCACGGCTTAATTGCCCATTTTTTTTTGCCTGGGGCGTGTGGGCCAAAAATATATTCAACGTACAACATCCTTTTCTCCACCAGGATCTTATCATGTATTTTCATGTACCGCGCAATTTCGCAGATAAAGTCGAGCGACGGGAAGCACAGGGTCGGTGCGATTGCCCAAAAATGCACGGGCCTCGCCAGGGAGTTCGTTCAAGACGGGGACTCGGTCCTCGTGGGCTTCCCCAGAGATCTCGACGTCAAAATCAAGGCTGTGCTCCTCGCCGCGTCGCTGTTGCTAGTAAGTACATACATGATGTCAAACGAGCTTTGCCGTGTAATTTCATTTTTTTTTTTTTTTTTTTTTTCCACAGGATTACATGTACTTCGAGGATGATTGAAGAAATTGCCTCGAGAGTTGGGGATAAATGATTTTTCGTGACTGCCCTACAAGTGATCCGATGTGGTCCTTTGCACGAGAGTGGAAAACAAGGGCTCCAATTTTTTCTTTTTCCCCACAATGCATGTATGTACCTGCGAAAAAGTGCCTAATGGTTATTTTAGTAACACATCGAATTTGTAGACGGTCTTTTCGCAAAATGACAATAACTGTTATATTGCTACGATCTCGTGACGAGAGAAAGCGAATTTTTGTAGATTAAATTGTAAATATATGACAAAAAAATAATGATCGCGAGTGCCAACTTGCGCGTTTTACCACATGTATATTTTCAACTTGCACCAATCGAAGAGAGAAAAAAAAGACCGGCCCACTAGCTCTGACGTATATACTGATATTACGCAGCCCCCCCTCGCTCCTATTGGATAAATCGATCGAGTAACCGAATGCTCAGGCCAAGGTGATCGGGCTTTTGGAGTGCACTTCGTTTTTGGCCTATACGCGCGTAGACACGAGAGATTAGTTGATTCGTGTCGCATATTTTTTTTTTTTAGTGCGTAAGTATCTCTCCGAGAGAAAAAGTGATCGAGGATTCGGTGTGTCCTAGAATGTGTAGAAAAACTGTATTTGTGTGATAAAATAATTATGCAATTATTGCATGGATACATGCGGTGAACTTTTTTGTACGGGAAAACGAATAAAATGATCAAATTATTTTGAGGTGTTTGTCTTTTATTTTTCAATACATCTGGTTTTTCTTCCACTAGATTATCCAATACTTTAGTTTTTACATGCGTACACTCATCATTTTTTTGCCATCATTCGCTATATACTTTCGATTTTCGCTCAGTCGTTTAAATAAACCGTGATATCAACACAAAAGCAGGAAAATTTTTAAAAACCATTTTTCCGTTCGATTGAAGAAATTTTGTTGACCTGGAAATTAATTTACTGTTTTTCAATGTACCGGTGCATTCACCTTCTATAGATGACCGAGCGTTAACCTGAAACACATAGTTTTGATTTTTCTCGACTTTTTAAATCGTTTTTATCTCAAGCGTTTCGTTCACCATCGGGAACGATTACACAATCAGGATTTGGACAGCACGAGTGATTACATGCGTTGCATAATTTTTTGGTATGTATGCTCTTTCCATTTTTAAAATAACAATACTTGATTGGGCGCACAGATAAAAAATGTAAATGAGTAAAAGAAACGAACGGCGAAAATAATAATCAATAATGACAGAACAAAGCGACAGAGCGAGTTGGCAAACACCAAGTGCTTGCACATCACCCAAATTCTCAATGTCTAAGTCAACTAATTTCACTTTAATTAGTATTCACTTGTTTTCTAGTACGTATGTTTATTTTACTTGGTAATTATTTTCTAAACGAACGAGACGCAAAAGCTACACAATGGTGTACGTGTGTGTCCGCCGATAATACAAAAAAGGAGGGAACGAGAAAAAAAAGTTGTTATAATAAAACTGAGTAAATACTGAAAATCACAACATATAATCGCATAGTACGAGCTGCTCCTCGCGTTATCCTTGAATTTTTTCCCCCTTTTTTTAAAATATTCTTCATTGATTATAATTTTATCGCCACCTTTCCCCATCCATTGATTCCCCGCTATATCGACAATATATCTCACGTGATATATGTACATCACGTTAATTTTTCATAATGAAATACAAGGAACTCATCGAACTTTTTTTTGTCTTACGTACACAAGAAAGACACAACGTTAAAGAACGTATACTATTGTTGCACAGATTAGCAAAGGAAATTCAAGCGTTTTTCGTCTGATTATTTTTTATTTCTTATCACGTATCTCCTATTACTAATATTATTATTATTAACAATTAACAATAATTCGATAAAAGTATCGTTCAACTAACATTTCTATATTCAAGAAATGCTGGGAGAAGCTATACACGCGCATACGGCCTAATTACGCAGAAAGGAAAAAAAATACATTGCGTAGTTCTATCATGTATACTTATTCGCCAAAAAATTACTATCAATCGTTACACATATTTTTTGCGTAGCCGTATGGATTTGCTATTAAAATTTTTCGATGTTCAACATACAAGTGAGTGCTTATCTTATTTTTAAATTGTCATACTTGTGTACCAGAAGGGGGGAAAACATAAGGACCGGGTAGGAGGATACACGGAGAGTGAGAAGTCCTCGCAGCTCCTAAGAGGATGAACACCTGAAAATGAAGAATAAATTTGAGAAATGCAGGATTTTCTTTCTAAACGAAGTTTTCACGAGAGCAAGGCAAAAGCAATTACTTTTTAAAACTTTTTAGAGCTCCTTCTCGATCTTGATCAGCTCGGCAATTCCATCGTGCATTTCCTTGACTGCCTGATATTCGGTGAGACCCAGACGTCTCTTGTTGGAGATGTCGTAAATACCACCCTCGGCTTCGGTGTGTTCACCACGAGTTCCACGGACCTACAGCAAATAATGGTAAACAGTGTTAGTCGACTAATCAACAGCACACGTGAAAAAGTATTTTATCAAAGTCCCATTGGATTGATGGGGGAAAAAAAACGGACACGTCTTACCTGAAGATTGAATTTACCAGCAACCTCCTCGAGCTTAGCCTTGTTGGCAGCCAGTTTGGGAACTTTGATGTGCACGGAGGCGCGGACAGTGGTGCCCAAGTTCGTCGGGCAGAAAGTCAAGAAGCCAAAGCGATCGTTGTGGGAGAAGGGCAGCCTCTTCTCGATGTCATTGACGGCCGTCACCAGACGTCGGTACACCTGTCCAAGATCACCGCCCATCTGCATGGAGATGATACGAAGATGATCCTCCTCGTTGCACCAGACGAGGAAGGTCTTGTCGTCGTTGTGGAAGATACCGCGTCCGGTGGGCCAGTATCGGCAAGCGTTGGCAGCCTGCAAGAAACGATCACCCTCCTTGAACAGGAAGTGGTCGTCGATGAGTTTCTGCTGGACTTCTTTGCTCATGCCCGTGAGCGGGTAGAAGGTGCCCTTGAGTTCACCCTCGAGGCCGGAAAGTGTGCTCGAGACTTTTTCTTCCATTTCCTTGTACTGGGCCTCGGTCAGGCAAGGGTTGAACGGATAACCCTCGAGAGAACGACCGCACCTGACTCGCGTCGATACGATGTACTCGCCCTGAAATTATTGATTTTTACCTTAAATCGTGAGCACTAATTTGTTGAGGCGTATTCATTTTTGGTAGTAGAGCTTGAAAATATTTCAACCCTTGCTTTTATGGATATTTACGCGAAAAAAAAAAAAAAAAAATTTCGTTTTTCTTATCTCATCCTTGGTAAGTAAAAACGTGCTTTCTACACCTTATTTTCCATTTTTTTTGTCAGTTGAAAAATATGTGCAATTTAAAAATTATTTTTTCTTTGGATACAGATAAAATGATTCGAACGAACGATCCCCGATAATCGGCATGAAAAAAATAGTTGAGAAACAAGCGCAAATAAGGTTTGTTCGGAGAAGAAGAACAAAAATAATTTACGGTGGGGTCAAGGTTTCCAAGGGTGTCGACATCGCCAAAGTCCTTGGGTGGGTGCTTGTCGGTCTTCTTGAAGCCACCGTGGTAGTCATCGATGATGGGATCAAAGAGCTCGGCGAACAGGGTGTAGGACTCGGCGTCGGGGGCATAGATACCGACACCCGAGTCGAGATTCTCGACGCCGGACTGGATGACATCGAGGAGGCTCGAGCCGAACGAGGTCTTTCTCGTCTTTAGGGCATCGAAGACCTCCTTGGTCAGGTACTTCTTTAGAAGGGAATTGCTCTCGGAGCTCTGGAGCTTGGCGAAGCCCGCCTCGAGCTTGTCCAGTGTCGCTTGGTCAATCATTGCTGCTGAGCTGCCTTTGTTTGGACTGAAAAGTATTGAAAGAAAGATTGGTGAGAATTATTTTATGTTGAAATTGAAATTGTCAATTCTTGGTCCTCTCGATAAAAACTTAAAAGGCAGTTACTACTACTTTTAACCATTTTCCAAACGGGTGAAATATTGGAAAACATTTTTATTACTGGGCATTTTACCTTAATTTGTTGGTACACCAGAGAAATCTATATTCTATAAAAAAAAAAAAAAAAAAAAAAACGTACTTATTTGAGTGATTTGAAACATGAAGAAAAATCGATTCACACAATCAAACAAGTGAAATGACAGCGATTCGGAGATTCGTAAATTATACCGTAACAATAGGATTATAGACCCTCCCACCAGCACAGTTGCTCGATAAATGTCGAGTCTCTCTACATTTTGAATGAAAAATGAAAATCGTGCACGCAAACAGCCGATGAGATAAAAATAAAAGGAAAATAAGACGTAACTCGATGGATTTCAAAACACCTCCCACGCACTCAATACACACGGTAACTCCATTCGATACCACGACTGAGGGAAAAAAAAGAGGAAGGAAGGAAGGAAGGAGTTGCCAGAAGTCACGTATTTGCGTCAGAGCACCTACGCGGACTTCCTGGCGAGCCGAATAAGGCAAGTCTAGCGCGTCCCGACAACACGTTGGCTAGCCTACTAGACGGTACACGACGAGATTTTTAACGTCCACAACCTGACGTGCCTCTGTAGGTAATATATAAGTACGAACTCGATTCCTGCCGTGTGCCTACTTACTTTTTGCTGGCGATAACTTTCTGAACCCCCCTCCCACCTACCCTTTTTCTTGTATTTTTCACTTAGTCTAGTTTTAGGGGTGGGCGTTGTGGCATTCGATTTAAATTAACACGACATAACTTCTTCAGGCTGAAACTTTGATACTAGTCTTGTGAAGCTGAGGTGATGTATAATCCTTTTTAGGGGTCTAGAGTAAGTGTTTACGCGTGTAAAGTGCTATAACGGAGTGATAAAATAACCAATGAATTGATGACATTGCAAGTGCCAACTTCTGGATCCCCGGTTATCGGTAAAAAAAAAAAAAAAATAACTACAGTTGCGCTGGATGGAAGAAATATTCGGGATAAACGCAACCGTTATTAGCAAAGGGAATGTCTTACATAAAAATCACATGTGCTACTCTAAAAAAAAAGGTTTTTTTTTTTTTTTTTCATAGTAGCTGTGTCGAACGCTAATAAATTAAAATTAGTAAATTAAAATATCAAAATGTTTCGTTCGAGAACTTTTGTCGATGCATTTGCAACTAATTGGTTAAATCATGTTTTTTGGGCCATACATCTACACGAACACATTTTTACTGTTACTGTACACTTTTTTAGTTATCAAAAAAATATAATCCGATTCATTAATTATCTTATTAGTGATCATAATTATTTTCTCTTGTAATATATTTTTTGGAAAAAAAAAAAAAAATTTCTTTTTCTCTCTTATACAAATTCTATAATCACATCACCACAGCGTGGACTAATTATACATGTGTTTGGTGTTTTTTAAAGGTATGGAACATTTATGGTGACAACTATATTTTTACCTCACCGCGTTCCCGTACTGTAAAACGCAAAACACTAATTACCTCATCGTCCGAATGGTAAAGCTCTTTTGTATCAAAAACTCGACAAACGTCGAAATACCGCACATGACGTGACGAGAAAATGAAGGAGAGAAAAAAATTGCAGGCACAGAATACGCGCACAAATCACGCGGTATACAGCGCTTATGTGATGGAGTAGTCACATGCGGGAAAATCGGCCGCAGTAGATGTACTCACCCAATATATACGCCAGTACATTGACAGTTTTATTAAAGCACACGGAGTAACCAACGATGCCTCAATGTATTATATACACGCACACACATACATTGCGCAATCATCTAATAGCTTATCTCCCTGTATTAAACACGGGTATCCTATACACACGAATAAAAGAGGAGTGGACTATTATTCTCGAATTTTTTAACGATGTGTGTTATTCGTACGTGTGAAATATAGGGATAAAAAACTAATTTTCGTACAAAAGGAAGTTGTTGAGATCTCTGTAGCGATGAAGAGGAGCGTGAGAACCGGAGACGGATTTAGCACTCGGAAGAGCTTCCTTCAATTTGCTATTGCAGAGATTAACGTTTGAGCTCCAAATAAGCAGTAAGAGTTTGGCAAGTTTTAATGCTGCGGTAGTCAATATTGTGTGTCATCAATTTCTTTTTTTTTTTTTTTTTTATAGCATATACGAATTGTTGTTCATTTGCGTGAAAGTGCAAGGTAAACGTATACTTTCACACACGCGCACACTTTACATTATTTCACTCAATGTTAAAATACAAGATTTTGTATAAAAAAAAAAAAAAAAAATCTGTTCACCAAGTAAATCATCGACTCGTGTTGGATGTGTGATTAATCTTTTTTCACACAAGTACTACAGGAGGCTACGCTAATCCTCGAACTTTAACAAAACATTAATCTTTGATAATTAAAAAAAAAAACTACTTGCTTTAAAAATATCAGTCTTGAGCTATATCACACAACGATTAATTAAGGCTTCAAAGAGAAATAAGAAATGACGGGGATGGAGCGCACAATAGGTTATCAATTATTACCATGATTCCGTTAATTACACCCTACTAAAATTAAAGTGCAGGAATTTGCGCGTTGCAGCCAAAGAATATTAAGAAAACATAAATCTCCTACGACTTTCACGTATATATTTATATATACATTTCCAAGCTTGCAAGTTCAAGTTCGTCCAAGACGCCTTGAATAATAAAAGTCATCTTTAATAATGAAAAAAAACAGCCTTGCTGAAATACCGCATAAATATAAACTTGGCGCATCGATTTTCAGCGTACACTGAGAAATTAAGAGAGACAAAAATTATGAGGTAGTGTAATATCGTAGCTCTCTCGGCAATAACTACTTCCCGATTCGGATGAAAAAAAAAAAAAAAAAAAAAAAAAAAAAAAAAAAAAAAAAAAAAAAAAAAAAAAAAANACTGTCGAATACTTCGAGTATAAAATGCTGAAAGGAGATCATCTTTGTAAAAAAACCTTTTTTAATTTCTCGATGTACTTCTCTCCAAATCAATTTTTTATCTTTCAATAAATCAGAAAGTACGCTATACGTATAAAAAACGGACCATTTTAAGGAATGTATGCACCTTCTGTTAAAAATTGCTCGAAAGAAAAAAAAAAAAAAAAAAAAAAAGGCGAGTCCGCGATTCTCGGTCGAGTGCAGCTTTGATGCGCGGAATTGTCGGGGATTACAAAATTAATGGCGCGCCGTCTAAATTCTCAGCTATCTCGTGAGTGGGGGTGCGAGAAGGAATCTCTTGATCCGACCACTTACACCCCCCACTCTTTTGTGAGAGCCAATCTCGCAATTGCCGAGACCAATGTTGTATTAACAATGTTACACTGCTGCGAGACGACGCCGATACACGGTAAAAATACGTTCACTACTCCGCACGAAACGTCCAATTTGCCGCTGATGTCACAGTTTGTGTTTATGATGGAGCGCTATCGCGCCTCACCTAAATTTGTAGTTTCACAAGGAGGACCAGATAGCGAGGAGGCGGGGGATAAGAAAAACTCTACATGTGGCCCATGATATATATATATATATACGTACTCGTCGCTCGTAGTGGTGTCCTTGGACGTGCACCCACCCATGATTTCGACTTATCTCGATGAGAAAACAAACTCAGCCGACAGAGGCACGCGGCGCGACCGCACTCGCTATACGAAACGACGCGACACTGCAGCTGAAAATTGTACCGCGAGTCCGCCGTCGATTTATACACTCGTGACAACAATGACAAGCTCAGGCTCGACTGTCGCACAGGTTTGACGTTTCCATCGGAGCCGATAAGCACGCCCGAGTATATATATATATATATTATGCGCGACCGGGTGTTTATACACACGGAGTCTATAGCACCGCTTTACACTGTCCTTCGCCAACTGTGCCAACTATATATTATTGAACCAACTAGGCGAGTTTTGCACGCATCGGAGTTGAGGAAAACAAAAAAAAAATCGACTTTTTTACACGAAAGTGCGGTAGGACCGCCGTCAGCGCATCTCCGCCGGGCGAAAGGGGTGTGGTTGTAGCCGGCGCGGCGCTCTCTTTCCCGGAGAAAAATCGCACTTTTTGCTGCACCCCCGTGTAGTATCTATTTCTCGCAACTTCGCGCGTACTACTTTCTTCGGTTGTGTTTGTTCATGCCCATGAAAAAAAAGAAAAAAAAAAAGAAAAACAAAAAAACGCGTGCGATTCGATATCGAAATAAAAAAAAGGGGAGGGAGGGGCGCAGAGACACGCACAAGTCGCTTGCGAATGAAAAAGTTTACATTTTAAGAAAAGTGAAAAAGTTCACACGGGAGCGTCCCCGCTGCACCCGCAAGATCGGCACTGTCCTCCGCGACGAGGGAAAAAGAAAAAAAATCTCTATTCTTTCGTTGGCGATCGGGAGCGACAAAAGCAGCGTCGCGGCCAAGAGACACCCGTGCGCTACAGTCTCTACGCTATCACTAAGCGTGTGCGAGCATACCGCCGGGCGCGTGTGCGGGAGGACACACCGATTGCTCTACGCGCCGTCGCTACATTATATATATAACATACAAACTATATACTTCTTCGCAGGATATAATATGTAAGCCATGGTCCCCCCTCCCTTGCCTCGACTATTTTGCTCCACGGGGTGCGTGTGCCCGAGGAGGCTGTACTACAGTATACATGATACATACATGTGTAGGGTGTGACGGAGAAATAGGGCGATGGTGGCGCGATCGCGAGGATAAAAAAATTAGGGAGCCTAACGAGGGGTGGAATCGTCGTATGCGCGTTCATATAGGGGTAAGGGCGCGTTACCATGTGCTTTTTGGGTATAATATATGGTTGTACGGTCGAGCCATTGACACGTCTTTTGTTGTTCATCAAAGAGTCGCGTGTGAACACGATCGGACGATTGCGTGGGTGGAAAGAAGGGACCGAGATCGGATTTCTCTTTTTTTTTTTTTCCTTCGGCATATATGCTAATTACAAAGATGCGGCGAGCACTCGTCATATTATAGTACGATGAAACAATCGATGTGGAATAGGAGCGCGTGCGATTATAATCCAACACGCAATGTTACATTCAACGTGAAACCCCATCAGCGGGGGGGGGGGGGAATAGTATCGATGGAAAAAAAAACGAGAGAGAAATGAGGATGCAATAAAACGAAAGCCATTGGAGTCGCGAAGAGACAAACAATCGAGCCAAAGGTCTCGGGATGAGCTGATGGAATCCTTGCGAAACTCCCTGGAGAAATACGCAACAGGGAGGGGGGGGGTAAGGTACAATTTTATTTATGAAAAGGGAAAAACCAATTACACCTTGTAGTCGATGCCACCACGATCCTTTATTATCAATAATAAATAAATGAAAAAAAAAAAAAAAAAAAAAAAAAAAAACTGTAGGGAGAATGGGAGGATGTTGCTCTCGCGAGTATACCCCAAGCCCGGGGACATGATGCTTTTACACCATAGGGTGGGGCCGGGACGGGAAGCTCCAGGCTCTTCCGTGCTATATATATATATATGAAAATGCGATGGGAGTAGGAAGAGGAAGGATTCCCGGTCGATATTACGCACTCCCGGCAAGCAGCAGGAGAGGAGCAACTCTCACACACACACCGGCCGGTGCTTTTCCTCCCTCGCGTGCGCGCGTGCGCAATTGCTGATGGGTTGTACGGTAATGCAATTGCGTGCCTCCGCTATCGGCTCCTCGTCCGGCGGTGATGCTTTCGCGGCTCTCCGGCCATATATATATATATACGTTGGCCGATGTAATTATTGCGAGCAAACTCGACAAGGGGCGAGGGGGTAGTAGCTCTTTTGGTCCGTGCCGGTGGTAATTTGCGCGAGTATTATTCACTGTACAGTGAGTGACGAGTCGTATCTCGCAGCGAAAGAATTATCTAGTCTTGTTTAGTCTTATTTTGAGAAAAACAGCCTCGTCACGGAAAACAAAACGAGTATTTTTTTGGATGAATAATTTTCTTTCGATTTTCTTACTTCATCCTATATAGCAGGTTGCTAGAATGAAGGGTAATTTTTTTTTTCTTTTTCCATACATAGTGAGAGTTATCTCTCGCTTCTGAAATAATTTTCATTTCACTTGCAAGTAATTGTGATCAAAGTCACATGGAAATTTAGTAACTATATCAGCTCAAGATTGGATATTATTACTTTTTTGTTTAATAAAAGTAAAATAAACAGGTGGTATTCTTACGTTGTAATACAAGCGGGTTTAGGTAAAAATTAACGTTAATGAAAGGAGGATCGTCTTGGTCATGAATCGTATAGGTATATTTGTCTATTAGCTCTGTATGAGAAGCCTTCGTGCTTTCATATGATAATATACTGATAGTCCTATACGAGTGATGGAATCAGCACGCGATACAAGGGCGTTCGATAATTACCTAGAGTACCTCTATCGAGGTGCTGTGACAGAAAATGTTAAAAACGACTCCGGTGATGGTCAAAATTAAATCGTTGCACAGGAATAAAGGACAATACTGTGGGGATTAATACAAGATATTTTTCTTTTTTTTTTGCTTAACGTAGAGCAATATTTTTTTAAAATTTTATCTGATGAAGCCAACTTGTTTTCTCACGAAAAATTTATGCATTTTTTAATCCAGCAGTAACGAAGAAGTTTCGAAATTTTACAAGCTCACGTGATAAATAGTAGTAATAATAACCAGAAAAATTTTGGGACGTAAAAATAAAGAAAAATCTGACGAAGAAGAGGTGCAGCAATGGTATCAATTAGGGGATATTAAAAACTTTGTTAAAATAATATAGCCACTCTTGCGTCATATTTTTCGTTTTTATTTTTTTAATTTTTTTTTTGGAATACGATGCGTCACTATGTTAGACGCACTTCTTCGCGCGATCTAATTATCTTTGAAACTATTTTTACGTCATTGAAAAACAACTATGGACTAAATGTTTTTTCTGCGCAACTGGGTGACTTTACATACAGTGCTTATAACGATTTTTTTTTCCCTCACTCTTTATTATTAAATATATTCCTGAATGCATCGTTCACACGCTTACACTTCCCCCCTGTGTAAATTCCGAGACATGACTATTTTTTATTTGAAGATGTCTCTCTCTTAAGCTGCAATAATTATTCTTATTTTTTATGTTTGTAATTAGCTGCCCTATTAAATGTAAATCCTAAATGTTAAAATGATTAAATTACCTTCAACTCTTCTTTTTCTACTTTTTTCTAAGACTGTTTTTACCTTTATTAATCACTAAAATTGTAGATATTTTTCTTAAGTTGGTTTTTTTCTTCTCCAACAATCCTATCTTTTAGTTTAGGGGGGGGGGGGTTTAGTTTGGATGACCGACGGATGAATCCAACAAGTTTCGATTGGATAAAAGAATGCGTAAGAGGATACATGGAGCACGCGTTGAGTCACAAGCTGCTTTACTGTCCAACGTGTCTTATGTGCGGCGCAGTTATCGCAATATCTGTAGTACTGAGAATTGGATAGTTTGTTCCTTGACTATTGTATATATACAACTGTTTGAGAAAACTGAGATGTTTAAGAAAGAGCATCCGGCCAGTATTTGCTCGAGACAGAGGTATATTGAATTTCTTGCGGATGATTTTTTTTTGACAACTGCGTTCCGAAGTACTGATGTATTGAGCATTTTTTCCATGATCCGATTTGCCGAACGCACCACCACTTTTGTCAAGGATATAAGCAATGGATACTTTCTGCTTAGGTATGGCTATAAAATTTGTTACAAATATTCCTTATATCAATAAACGAGTGTTTCATTTAAAATTCACCTGTGGGCACGAAATCATTTACTTGACTTTGTAACAAAACAAAGAAAATGCCATCAGGACGTTGACCAAATGGTAAAAATTCCCGTAAAATGGGGGGTTAAACGTTTCACTGAAACACAATTAAGAATCACAACAAATGATGGCACACTGCAAAACATTTGTAATAGGGTAACTACTCGTATAGCGTTGCGCAGATCTCATCAAGGGCAACGCACAAAACGAAAATTGCCTGACAACGGAAAAGAAAAGCTCAGTCGAGCAGAAAGATGCGGTTCATAGCTTACGTAACGAAGGATGTTAACAAGTGAAAACAAAGCGCAGTCGCGATAGCGACAATCGGCAGCGTTAAACGAAGCACTCGGGGAGAGAGAGACAAGAGAACAGAGGAGGCATCGTCACTGATGATATGTATTATTTGTATACACATGTGTAGGTACCCATGTAGGAGTAGAAAATGAATAATGCATTGGGTCGGTATATACCTAAACGAGCTAAACGACGAGTAGCAGCTGCAACATCTGTTGGAGGGTCGCCCGTGCTGGCTTGGATTCGCAGTGGACGGGCTCTTGGAGAAAAATCGTGGGCACTGGTGGCGGAGGATGACGATACAGCTGCCGCCGAGGCTGGCGATTCGGTGGCGAGCGGCTGCAGTCATTGACCCAAGCGTGGAATGCGTGCGAGGGACACGCTAACTGTTCTCCCCCTTTATTGAAAATGTAAGATGAGGGGGTGGGTTTTTTTTGTTTTTTTATTATTATTATTATTTTTTTTTTTTTTTACTTCAAAAGGTATGTATCGTCTGCCTCGTGTTTACGTATTTATTTCAATATAATCAAGTACCCAAATGGATCCAAGCAAATGGAAAATAATGCTGCGAGTGAGTAGACTAAACTAAAATAGTACCACCACAACATATAATATGAATTTGGTACCCAAGCAATGTCGATAACTAAGAGCTCTGTAACGAGAAGACTCGCAGTAGCAGAGCTCTAGTTTACCATGGTATGTTTAGAAAAATTACTAACTCACCCCTCAGAATAATATATTTTTTAACATTATTTTTTCAACTCGTATACATGATATTATACTTAAATTTGATTCTTCTACTATCGGAATGAGGATAAGATTTTAAAATCAGCTCTGATCGGTCGATAAAGTCAACCTCCTTGCGCGATCCGCTCAAAGTCACTCAAGTATTAAGTAAAAAGCAAATGCAGAACGTCAATTTATGACGTAGTATTATATACCTTCGCACAAAATTCAAAGATCGAGTCAATTAACGAAAGGCGAGACATCCGACGCTTGCTCGTTTAAACACAGCAGCAGTAGCGTCTTACACTCGTACACTAAATAACAAAAATAGAGAAGCGCTTAACCACGCGAAGCAAGAGAGAAGTGATTAATGCCATGTTTATGATTCTACATCGACCGCCACGTCTTGGAAGAACTTGATCAACAAAACCTCGTATATTTATACTCTACAGCTGTATAAATTTTACACGAGATTAGTACATTACTTCCCGAACAATAGTTAGACTGAATGTACAAGATTTTCGTAGGATATAGTACGATCGAGTATACATCGGGATGAATGTTGCAAGATTTATGTATTTTCAACGTATTATCTGAATGAAAGATGGTTTGTGCGAAATGGGTTTAGTGTTTATTTTGCTTAAAAAAAAAATAGATAATCAAAGTATCGATAAAATATAAATAAAAAAGTATAAACGAATTGCCGTCGGTTGGTGAAACGAAACTACTGGGTCGCGATGCCATCTTATCCGTCCTCCCCTTGGTATACAGTGTGCACACATATGTATATATATATTTACCTCACCACCTTGCGATCGATTCCCACCCACCTGCGCAACATACCCTAGAGGGTCAAGGTCAGGCATGCGCAGACCAAGGTCATACGACACGCGCACTTATTAATAAGTTGCTTCTAGTCCCCTTTTTCTCCGATTCTTCTCGCACCCTGCACTTTTTAAACCTGGTAACACAAAAGAACATCTCGACAATCGCTGCTTTTACTACTACTACTACAATTGTAGATACTTTTTTTTTTGTGAGTAGTCAAATGCAACTATTGTCACGTCATCTGCGACTTGTTTTTTTTTTTTGGAGTTACATTTTTCCATAATTCATTGAAACCTGTCAGTTTGTTTGGTCACAAACAATATTTCAATAATTAAATTCTCAGATAAGACATACAAATAAATACAAAAATCTAATAGATTCCGTATTCGAGAAACGAAAACAAATAAATCAACACGAGACACAGCCTTGTTTCATGTGATACATTTGTCGTTTGAGCTTTAAAATATTATACAAACCTGCACACTTCGTTAAAAATATGAGGTTTGTTTTTTTCCGACGATCAGCTATTTTACTATTTAAAAATAATTTCTTGATATTTCTGGATCCCTCGTGCACGTGATTTAAATGCTCGAGCACACGCTCCAAGCTTGTTCCGAGTATTTTTAGATTTTGCTGATTTTAAGGACGATTTAAACACTTTAAACGAGGCTTTAAAAATTAATTTTACAATTATATTTAACGTTAACGCTAAAACAGAGATGTGTTATTTTGAGTGGAGATCAAGTGTGTTTTTGTTTTTCAAGGATAGTAACAAAAAAGTTTTTGAGGATCAAACATTAGTATTTTATCGTTATTTGAACAAATATATTGACAGTAAATGTCGTAAGATTCAATTCGTAGATGATAGTTAAAAACCTTTTTTTTTTGGAACTCGGTTCATAACAAAATTGATATAAATTATAATGTTCGTATTTATACCATTAAAAAAATATTAGATATGACCTCGCATACTAGATCCTCCTACATCATTACACTTTTTTTTTGTTTTATACATTGTAGGGCTGATTTCAATCAAAGCGTTACCTTGATGATACTCGAAGCATTCGATTTCCTCGAGGTAATGACGTACTCGAGCATATAAATGTATACACCTACAGTCAACTAGATACAAGCTTGGATGATTTTCCGAAAAGTGCAGGTATTGAAAAACTGCTTACGAGATTCAATTTCGTCAAATAAAAAAATCAATACGCCAGTAGTACGAGAAAAAAAACTGCAACTCAAGAGCACGTGTTGCCAACTTCTGTTCCAAGACAATTTTATATTATCCAAGACAGCTACAAATAAGCATTTTGCCTCCTTCCTCCTCGGCAGAAATGCAGAGAAGGAAATTTTAATGTCCCGGCGTCTAGACACGAGAAATAAAATAAAAAAAAAAAACTAAGAGCGCAATTACGCGTTTATGAGTGCATGCGTGTTTTTTCCTAGCCATATGAATCACGTATCGGTATGGACGCGTCTGGTTTTGACTCGGAATCAATTGGAGTATCGATCCGCGCGAGTACATGCGTATATAACATTTGTACATAAAATGCAAATCGAGTGGTATACATCACTTTCATTTAAACACGCAATGAATTGGCACGAGCAGTCCAAGGAATGTTCATGCATGGTATCCGACTCGAGTTCCAAGCAATTCATTAAAAATTGAAAAAACAAAGACTTTTGTACCCTTTACCGGAATGCAAAAACAAATATCCATTGTAGTCGTCGCGACGGGGTCGTTGCTCCTTGAATTCTCGCAAAGGTAAAAGGCAATAACGTTGGCCAAAGGGAAAGAGACAACGAAGCATATTCTCCATAGGTTGCGTAGACACGAGAATTGTCGCACGAAAATAGAAAGAGCTGCTGCCAACGCTCCTGAGGTATATGATAATAATTATAATAACGATCGCGATGACGGTCGCAGCAGAGGACTGTGAACTCTTCTTCTTCGCACACCGGGGGATTTTCGGATTTTCTATTTCTACACGCGAGAGCTTCCGCCTCGGGAGTGGTGCGTACAGTTTTGTCTAGGTCTGTATTATTTTCGTACGTATGGATGTAGAGGGAAGTTTTAGTTTATTTCGAGGGAGGAAGACTGTTCTGGTGAAATTGAAATTCAACGCTGCTGTTTTTTTTTTTCGTTTTTCGGGCAATATGTTGATAACGCTGTTGAAGTCGAAACTGTTTTCTTCATGTCAATTGATTTTTTTTAAAAAGATTAGTTTGATCAAAACTGTGACGTTTTGTTTTTTTTTTCTCGTCTGTTTACTTGGTGCTCTTTCGTGCCGGTTTAATCGATGAGTCATTTCTAGAGCTGACATGCTCGTACTGTCGAGAAAGTAAATCCATACGTACGGGTAATAAAAGCGTCTACAAGTACACCGACCATAAGCACGACTTGGTCTATTTTAGTAACTCTTACAAGGGGATATAAGTATATGATACAACACGACAATCGATTTTCTCATATTCCCCGACACAAGTTTTGTAGAGCAATAACAACACCTGGCACGATAATGGAGTGTGGTTTTAATCGACAATTGACGCCGTGGCGGAGTAAATATTTTGACCAGTAAAATGGCTATGTGGCCAGAGAGGCGAGTTGCGCAACCTCTTCCCCAACGACGGGAGAGTCGCAGGCCAACAATGGCATCGTAAAACGCGAACGTATGTAGGAAGCGAGCATTGTATATCTGCAAGCACAGCCTCGCCCTTTTGCCAATAATAGAAATTCAAGCTTGCGCACCCGAGGATGGTGATGACGATGATAACGAATGTTTCGTTGGGACGGAAGACGCTTTTATTTGTGAACGCTGCAACGAGGGATTTATTGGCTGCTAATGAATGGCTTTGCGAGCCTCGTCCCGAGGTACAAACTATTTCGCGCGCCGACACTTGTAAGGTCCAATAAGGAATTAACAAGTCGTCGGAATCAATTAATTTTCGACTCCAAATACTTCTCAGGATGGATTTACGTATGCAGACTCCCGGAGCTATTGGTCTCGAGGGAGATTAAATCGGCACGTGATTAGGACTGTGTCTTTGATTCATGATCAAGTTGTAAAAGTGTTCGAGTTACCTATCAGTTTTCACGACTACAATTTCCCATCGAAATCATTAAAATTGCGTACTATTCGAACCACTACCAAAGAACTGTAACGACCGAGCGACGGTGATAAAAATTCTTATGGTATGAACAACGCAAAACGTTAAAAAAAAAAGAGGGGGGGGGAGGGGACTAGTGGATTTTTTGCGCGCATCATTGCACGTGCATGTAAAAAAAGGAAGCGAGCGAGAAAAAAGAGAGAGAGACTGAGAAACAGAAGCAAGACCGGCAACTATCAATTTCCGTTTCGAATTACCAAACGGGCTCGTTAGGCGCACCAGTGCGAGCCGTTTTTGATGCGAATCTCCGGTGGGGGTCTGGTCGAGCGCGACAATGGCCAGACGACAAAAGCACGTTATGGGTCATGTTCGCGCAAGTTCAGATCAATTGTGCAATGGATGCCCGGAAAACCGCTTTTCTTACCGCGAATACTCACTCCACACCAACCAATATAATCGTGTTACACAAGATTTTTTTTCTTTTTTTCTTCATCTCGGTAAGATTACACGACACAAGTGAGAGAATATCTGAATTTAAATACCAAGTCATACTACCATTGTGGCAAAATAATATTTTTTTTTTCAAAAAGACAAAAATTATTTACAATTCCTATACTAGAATTGCACAAGTTGTTTTTATCAAGGTACAATATAAGACCGTTTGATTTGACGAGTG